GCGCGGTCCAGGCTCAGATTTCGGATCGGCTCCCCTCAGAGCCAGCCAACCTTCCACCCTCCAGAGATGCATCTGGAAGGATAAGAACACTGACTTGTATATGGGCTGTCTCCTGCAATACATTTTAGAGGCCAGCTCGCGTTCAAGGTAACTAGGACTCTGAATGGAAAAAGAATGCGTGCCGCATCCCGAAAACGTTTTGTTCAGGGCGAAGAGTATCTTTTTTTCCCTGGGCAAGGCATTTGAAGGGCTCTGAGGCAAAACTGAGATTACTATGATGAACATGATGATGATGAGTATGGGATTACTAAGTTTTTAAGTGGTTCACGTGCCGTGGAACTCCTCAGGCAAAAATCACATCTCTGTTGTGGTGGTTCCAGTGGCGTGGGTTGCGATTGTCGTGGGTTACCGACATCGTTCAGGAAGAGGAGACGGCAGACTTTCAAGTAGTAAGGCGCTCCTGTAAGCGCCTTACTTCTTATCAAAGCGCCTGTAATATCTTTATCCTTGAGCTCTGCCCAATTGGAAGACGGTGTCACGATGGAAGCGATTTTGCTGAGAATTACCGTATCTTGTTCTTCGCTTTGGCAACCTCTCTGCTTCGTGGGTGTGCGCTTTGATCTCAGAGATCGCACTTTGTGTCACGATCGGAGTTCATAGCGGGATAAATCGTAAAGATTTTGGCTCTTGTCGATTCCTTTTACGCGTCAGGGATTCTGCTTTCACTCAGAATCAGAAATTTTTAATGCAATTTGACCTATAAATGAGATGGGGCAGCCTCGTAGAAGACATTGCTTTGACCACTCAGATAGGTCTAGTTGTAAACAACTCACCCAAGAGGGATGAAAGGTTTGGTTGGCCCAAGCGGGAGTTGACAGATACTTGACCCTGGCCGTGCTAGTGACACGGCTCAACTTACTACACCAGCTTTACCTATGACACGTAATGATATGGTAACTTCTATTTTCCACATCCAGTTGTGCTGAGTGTGAAAAGTGTGCAGAATCCCGTTGTTTTGACTAATACCATATTTACTGCATTCACCTAACATCACATCGGATTATGATCTACTTGCCATAGTTGTTTACTCTTACGCTAGCAGACGTTCCCTGAGATTATTTTTAGGGGACTGAAATCTAGTACATTTGTGGATTGAAGATAACTTGGACTTTTTGGCAATAGGCAACTTTGAATGATGTCGTCATCTTTATTGAAGATGATTCTTTCGTGACGATGATGTGTTCAAAAATAGTTTCGCATGTATTGGCGAACCTCTGAGTTTCTTCCTGGGGACTGCAACCTGAAAATTTCCTGGTTTGTAATTGGCTGTCACTTTCACGGTAGAACTCGATTTTCATCTTTCAAAACCATGCTTTTTCTTCCTGAGAATATGAAATAAGAAAAATCCTCCATTGAAAATATACCGAAACAAGAAGCTACAAGAGTGTTTCCACACGGCGGGCACTTATGATTACTGCAAACTGCCAGTTTGGTAATATAACCAGTGGTGGCTGGTTTGTACTCGATGTACCTACGTTTTCGAGATTTTTATACAACAGTTGGATCTTTTGAGAAAGTTTGCTTTCTCCAAGTCAGTTCTAACTTGTGGACTTTGGCTATATACTTAGGGTTAGCATCGAGATAGATGTGATGGCATAGTAAGTATGATCCCCTACCCATTCCTAGTAGGACCCGCTTCTCACAGCCTACCTACCCCGTATCTATGCTGTTCCAGCTCCCTACGAATTTTCCCTTTTTTCCAGTTCCCCCCCCCTCCCCACTCAATTGAATCGCCGTCAAGTGAGGAAAATATATAGCGCATGAAACGGGGTGAGTCGGCAACCGAAAAGGTACTCTTAACGCCTGATACGACCCTCCCCCTCCTCACTGGGATTCTCCCAACGATGGGGTTGCCCATACACAGTTGATCGTGTAAGAAATTTGACGTTTCGAGTTCGGTGACTACTTTTTTTCCGATGCTTTTCCGCCTGCCTGGAACAGAGTGTTCCGATAACTCTGTTCAATTCTGCTGTTTTTCGGTTCTGGTGACCTGCTTGGCCGAAGAGATCGGAGAGATCACTTGTTAAACAGCGACAATCATGGGAATGTGATCATTTTGTCAGATTGCTGCCACTTATGATTGTCCAGACATCTCTCTCCTTTTTCTGAGCGAAGCTAGAGATGTGCTGCAGTATTGTACAACTGCACACCAGCCAGCTCGGCAAATATCATTCGACAAATATTAAAATTTCTTTGCGAAAACGTTGAATACGTCCGCTTTGTCGTCTAAACAGCGACATACGTACTAGAAAGGGGATGGAGTTGGAACGGCACTATGTTGCAGAACTCACTTTGCGATTCGTTCGAGTGTCGTCTTATTTTTCTTCCGGTGCATTCATACTTTGCAGCTGTGTTTTGAGCGACTAATGAAATGTAGGTATTGATCCCGCGGCTGCAGCGATAATCGATACCTATACTTTCTTAGTCGCTCAAAACGCTCGAAACGGTAGCTGACGTTCAAAGCTCTATCGATAAATATAGTTTCCTAGTCGCTCAGAACGCTGACAGACGCTCAAAATGCTAAAACGCTATGAGCGCACTGGACACGAAGTATGTCGACTAGTTACGTCAATGAAGATGCTGCGCGATCTGGACGAGTTGTCATCGAGATGGGAGTGGTGAATATGTCCCACGCACGCCAGTATCAGTATGACTGCTGACAGCTGCTCCATTCGACGTACAATCGCAGTCATTTAAACCGTGCAGCCAGGGTCTACCTACTCGGCTTATAATGATTCTTCCAGGACGACGTTACAACTGGAATTTCATTTTCCACGACAAGGTCATCATCGACCTGCAAAGAGACATTCAGAAGTAAAGCAGCGAATATCTATGAGTGCTTCTATCCTTGTATGACTACAGCAATATATCAATGTGATGAACGTCTAGTAACGGAGAGGAGCAAACATCGTGCAGGACATCGGCAGGACATCGTGGGAGTGCCCAAATATGTGTGGGAGTAGTAACGAAGACGAAGGATACCAGGCTAACATTCTCAACTTCACTTCCATGGTTTCTCCCGTTTCAACGTAAGCCTCCAATATCGGAATTCTCTTCAAGCAAAACGAGCTCTGTAGTCTTACCTACTATCGAAAGAACAACCTGGACCGCCGCGAGTTCCATCGAATTTTACAAACGAATGGTAAGCTTGATAATTTTCGGAAGAACGAGTACGTGACAAAAAAATCGTGTTCGCCGCATTAATGGGCGTGGCGAGCGACGCTGTGTCCGAAGGACGAGTTGTCCTGTCTCTCATTATGAGTGTGGAAGGGATGAGAAAGTTCGACATCGCCACTGAGTCTTGTCTTTGCTTGAACTCATGTGAGTTTCGCTGCGACAAACCGATGCGCATTAACATTTTGACGCGTATGGCAAGGCACATCATTGGTTGGGGACTTTGGTCGAATCTGTACAACCTCCCCTCCTCTTTTTTTAGGGGTTGGTACGACCCCCTGGTTCCCTATCATCGAGGCTGTAGGCGGGGGGGGGGGGGGAAGAGAATAGCACATGTGAAACGAGAAAACAGCGGGGAGAAAAAAAAATACGCCCCCCCTTCTCTACCATTTCTTAGACTTTCCCCAAACTTCCTCTCACTTTTTCCCGGAGATTTCCAAACATTTTTCCTACCTTCCACAAAATTTTGCTTGCGTGCAGAGGAGGGGGAGTAGTACGTGACAGGCAAGGAACATGAAAACTCAATGACCTTTCTGACAGCTCAGAAGCGAAATACGTACCCTTTCCTCTCCCAACAGCGAGCAAATACGACCTCCCCCACTTCACATGGTCCTTGAAACATGTAAAATCAACTATCAAAAAATTTTTTGGCCCGCATACAAACCAACTCCCCCCTCCCTATAGCGACTGAGTACGACCCCCTGTTGGGGAATCCCCAACAACGATGTGCCCTGACGCATGGCCGCACGCGGTAACGCGATAAATTACGATGTCTTGTCCTTCTCTCAGCGAGGAAGGCGTGCTGGACCGCGGTGGCAACAGCAGAGGCGAATGGAATATGAGGGGAGAGATCACGACTGTTCAGTTTCCGTCCAAGGGCACATGCATCGGAACCTGTACTACTACTTTGACACCCCCCCCCCAGTCCCTCAAAAATTTACTACATAAGGACTTTACGGCAATTCCTCATTTTAGACAGAGTGTTGAAATTATCAAAAATTTAAAGCAGTTCACACCACTTTGTGTGAACTTGTTGTTGTTTACATGTTTGTAATTAGAAGCAGAATTCAGAATGTAACTGCCATGGCACCAGTGACTTTTTTAAAGTTTTCGTGGTGCAGTCTGTTCCCTGCGGACTTTGAGGCGTGTCGGAGGGTGGATGAATTTGGCCCGGCGCCAGCCAGTTTTCCACCAATTGCAGTCACCGGCCAGCTTCCATAATTGGTGGAAAACGGGCTGGTACCGCGCCAAACCCAGCTGTCCCTGACACATCTCTGCATCCGCAGCAACAAGACTGTAGACAATCAATATCTATTTTATTCTAGCACTCATCTTCTACCACTTCTTTTTACAATAATTGCCTAACACCGGAACAGGCTACTCTATAGCTCGTAGTAGTATCTTATTGATAACCATGGCTGTGCTACTTACAAAGAAGTGGTGAAGCGTCACAGATCAGAGCACTCAAGTACTTTTCCAATGTATTTTCTCCTTCTTGGTGCTCATTGTCCCCTGTTAAGTGTTACGAGGACTGAGCGTCCTCTGACTGCTAGTTGAAATTGAATAACCTCATCATTCCTGCTAAAACTCCTACAAAGGTCAAGCAGTAGTCACGTTTAAAAATAACTTTCCAGCTGAACGGTTTTCTCTCTCATTGATTTCTCTCTTATTTCCTTTGAATAGCCCAACTTTTGCATCATTTGCTGAAGAGGATTTCTAGGCCCAGTGTTTCTTATTAAGACGATTGAGACCACTTTTTTCCAGAGATGTGCGATCACGGTGCAGGCGGTTGTCATCATGAAGCGAGTGAAATGTTGCCCGAAATTGGTGAAGGTCAACGATATGATATGCATCAATATATCGATATGGACAAGGTGAACAGAGTGTATAGATAGATAAATTAGCGCCCATCAAGGGGACACTATCTCGGGGGATGGTTATAGTATTCGTTCATTTCGATCCCTTATGCGGCAATGATTTCTTTTTTTACGAATGCATCGAGACAACCACGCGAGGTGTAAACGACTGGGAACCTAGTCAGTTCTCTTTATTAAAGGCAATTGGCACGATAATTTGGTACCGGCCCAACAGTTAGCAGGGCGCTACATAGTGAGAAAATGGCCAAAAAACTGTCAAAAACCTGCGAAGAAAGGCCTTCGTTCTTAACAACTTAAAAAGCAATTTCGGACGAGTTTCCCGTAGGCATCTTGCCAATAACCGCTACGGTAGGTACGGCTGCACGTATGTGTACTCATATATCCATGCAGCATCGCGGCCGCTTAAAGACAG